TTGGAAAAAGGCTTGTAAAACTTTTCTATAAAGCACTTTGACGGAGAATATGTGAGAAACTTATCGCGGTTAAATAATGCGAGTAGGAGTATTTCTTCTCCCCTGTCCACTGCAGATTAACACCAAAAATAAAACAATAACTCTTTAAGTTTCCTTGCTAGTTTTTTCAGCACCTATTTACTCTCTTAGATGGATCTTGACTTTGTGAGATCGAGGAAAGAGCTTTGTCCAAGAACATAACATAACATAACCCGGCCAGTGCTCAAGCCCAGAACTTTCGCTGGAATTTAACAAGCAAACCACTAAACCACCGCATTTCCCATTTGAAGGACTATGACAGCCACGAAAAAGCAGTAGAATAATCGACAGATTTGTTACATATAAAGCGATGGACTCACTTGTTAGTCTTCCACTGTATGTATACATTAAGGTAAGTCAAGTGATCACTCTCGGGTACAGCGAATTTCTCCCTGGCCGCGTCGCTCTCCTCTTCTCTTCCTTTTGGACGGAAAAAAATGGCGGGAACTGACAGCATAGACACGATGATCTGTCAAGAGGTGGAGAACATCGTGGGTGGAACAATTTTAGTACATTGTAACGAGAACTAGAAAAAAGTTTCATCTAAGGTAAGTTGGTTTTATCATAAAGAACCAGACAAAATATACGGTCAACAGTAAAGAGAAGAGATAGAAGAAACCCTGTAAATGTGTTGGTGAGCACTCTATGGGTTCTGTACGTTGCTTCGAGATGAAACACAAGCCTGATTTAGCTGTCACACCATAGATCTTAACTAGAATGTCAACACCATCGGAAAATGCCAGCTAGACCAAGTCAGTATTTTTTAAAAATTTTTTGTTGCCACATACGTGACCACCAATTCTTCTCCTCTAATGAATTACATCAAAGACAACACCTGATTAACTACGAAAACTGACGCTCAATCCGAAATGGCGACACGGTTCTACCTCAGCTCATGCTCACCCTATGACCCTTAAGAGTGACTTGCATCCAATTTCTCCTTACAATATCACC